TTTAGTGAAGGTGACTCTCTAATATCCTTGGGCAAAGAGTTCCAGAGCTTGGGGGCATAGCAGGAGAAGGCCCTGTCGCCCATACTATGTACGAAAACCCTCAGTGACCTCTTTCAAATGTTGCTTTATGTATCATTTAGATAGGTACCCTTTCTGAATTCATATCTTAATAAATAAAGCATGGCAATGAATAAAGATGGGCTTTTGTTGTTTTGTTTATTCAGGTTTTTTTCTTGGTACCAAGAGCACCTGTAGTGTCGTCCATCACAAACGATTTTCAAAAGGCTACAGCTGCTCAAATGATGAAATCATTTAGCTTTTGGAATGTTTTGAATTGATTAAAAGACAGGTTTTGGTTAAGACTCGGTCCTGTTTGTTAAGCCAGGCTGATGTCCATTTGCACGCAGATTGGGAGCCCGTGCCCTGGTCTCCTCCAAGGCGGTTTTTGAAGGAGACCTAGTCCCCTGCCTTCCTCGGGGGAGAACTGACCGTTTGTCTCCCCTCCTAGGGCCCAGAGTGTGACGCGGAAGCTGAGTCGGAGCTGTCCGTCACGGAGCTGAGGGAGCACAGCCAGAGGCAGCGGGAGGAGCTGGAGAAGCGGATGATGGGAGACGGCTCGGACGAGGAAAGGGAGGGAGAGGGAGAGGAAGAAGGGGAGAGCAGCACCAGCGGGAGCTGTGCCAGTGAAGAGGGCAGCTGCACCTGGGGAATAGGTGAGCCACTGGAACACGCAGCACAGCCCCAGTGGGACCTGCTGAGTCTGGTTCTTGGCCAGTGCTCTTACTATGACACAGGAACAAGAGTCCTCCTGCCTTCTACCTTACTGATGGCCCACTAGTTAACAGCGTTTCATGATTTGCTAAGCACACACAAACACCGGGCTTGAAAATTAATTTCCACCGGTCCAGTAGTAAATATCCAGGAAAATCAAAATTGTCTGTGTATGTTTACACAAACTGAGAGGTTAGGCAGGGAATCATTAATACCACTGAAGCCTTACACAGTCGGTGATTTCAGCTCAGTTCTGCTGTTTGCTGACACACTATTAAACATTCATGGGATTCTTGTATTTTACTGTAAGCTGCTTCATTCAGGGAAGTTTCTAACTTAGCATTAGTTTTACTGCCCGAGAAAGGTGGCATCAGCCACAATCTTGGGGGCATAAATCCTGGAATCAGGAAAACAAAGCAGGTTCAGAACGAAGAATAGCAGCAGTCCTCATTACTAAATAAGGGTTAATACATTGATTTCAGATATGCATGACTTTCAAGAAACTCAGAAGTCTTCTTTCTGGGTCAGCAGGCCTTCTCTTAATCGACCTCCTTTCACGTTTTTTTTTTTTCTGTGAAGGCTGTTTGAAGTCCATTTTCTGTCTCACCTCTGTCTCTTTTTTGTTCTCTCCGTTTGTTCTCCCCCCAGGGGAAGATGCGCTTCCAGAGGAGGATGAGAACGCCGAGAATCCCTTCGCCAGTGAGTTCCAGGAGGACCCAGAGGCCCTTTACTTGAAGGACCCCAAGAAGGCCCTGCAGGGGTTCTTCGACAGGGAAGGTAGGGGAGTAGGTGCTCTTCGCTCAGTGCATGGACATTAGCGGTCTAACACATCCACACTCCATGAATACCAGTACCTCGTCCCCTGCCGTTAAACTGAAATCACCTGGTTGCTTATTATTTCTTTGGAAAGTGTGGGCCAGAATTGACATAGTCTGTATGTGCAAGTCTTGTGCAAAAAAAAAAAAGGTTTACCAAGTGACGCCTTGTGTGGGACATAGTGAGTGTAGTTATACATTTATATTTATTAAACATTCCCACACCTGAAGAAGGCTCCACGGCTGAAACGTTGTGTTTTTTCTCCTTTTTTTCAGCATGGAATAAACCTATTACTTGTTCATTTATATTTATATCTATATCTATATTTACATCTATATTTATATTCAGATGTGTGATACGATTTTTCTGCGTACTGTTCTGTTATAGTTTGTTCTTTGTGTTTCCTGACTGTGAGTAACTCTTTTAGTGCACCCCTCACTGTACTGATTGTATTGTATGTATTGTATTATTATTATTGTATCATTCGTTACACTGTGGCTGTGTTGTCTGTGTTAAGCTGCTGTTGCACTGCAATTTCCCTCACGGGATCAATAAAGTATCTACACATTCTAGCATGTTGTTAATGGTCTTGACATGTACAGCCTTGGTAATTATTAATTATGCGAGTCTAGTGGATGGGCTGGGAGCAAACCGAAGGCTGAGCTTTGCATTATGATTTCAGGCGAGGAGCTGGAGTACGAGTATGATGACAAGGGCCGCAGCACATGGGTCTGCAGAGTCAGGTAAGGCTGCCCACCTCCTTATTTCTCACACCCATCCTATCCCAGTACTGTCCTGCAGCTGCAAGAGACAAAGATCTCCCTGATCTGCTGTGCAGAGTGGCTGCTCTGTGTTGCCCAAGTGGGGCTGCTGGTGCAGAGCTTTAATTTTTTTTTCTTTGTCATGTTTGTGGAATTATTTCTTACTTTAATTATTAATTATTGTTTCTTTGACGTGGGCTAGGTGTTTCTCTCCTGAGATAAGTTGATTTTTTTTATCACATATGTCCATCTGGAAAAGAAGAATGTTTCTAGTTGAATTCTGTCAAATTAAACTGACTTCTCAGTGTGTTGAAATGCTAGTTGTCTTTTCTCGAATATTTTAGAAATGTTGACAACCCAGCCCAGGGCCTTGTGCTTTGTGAACTCAGTGTGGTAATACTGAACTGACAGCCGCCATGTGCTGTGCCCAGGTTACCAGTGGACGACGCGGTGGGCAGACAGCTGGTGGCAGAGGTAACCCACACGGGGAAGAAGAAGGAGGCAGCCATACAGTGTGCCCTGGAGGCCTGCCGTATCCTGGAGGCTCGTGGGCTTCTGCGCCAGGAGGCAGGTGGGCACGCTGAGTCATGTCCACGCTACAGTGGGGTGTGTTGGGGGGGGGTCTGGAACAAGCTGCCCAGCTGTGTAGGTGAAGCCTCTACACTAGGATTCCTTCAGGTAACAGCTGGACGAGATCTTCCAGTCAGGGCAGGAGGCACTTTTTACACAAAGGGTGGTGGGAGTGTGGAACAAGCTAGCCAGCTATGTTGCCGAGACTTCTTTCAAGAAGCAGCTGGATAAGAACCTTGGATCAATTAGCTACCAAACAGGCTAGATAGACAAACAGCCTCCTCTCGTTTGTTACCTTTTCAGGTCCTTATTGTTTTTGCTCTGTGTTTGATCTTAACTGCACTGTTCTTGCAATCGTGCATCTCTGGCTTTCCCAAGCAACTGTTTGCAACGCATGAGGACTTACTGCTGCACAACTGTGCCCTCTGGTGGCCTGTGAGTCTCCTGATTTTCCTTCAGTCTGAGTACAGTCGTACCCAAGCACAGTATATATTTTGTGGAACAACATCTAACAAATCATTTTTCCCCTTGTAAGGGTTAATGTAAAATAGGGGCTTAGGTGGTGGGCCTCGGAATTGCATTCTTCACACTCAAACAAGAGGTGGTCCATTTATTCCTACAATAAGTGGGGACAGCATGATAAAAGTGATCATTTCCCTTGTTTCTTCACACAAAATGTTGAATGTAGTACTTACACTTCTGCTTATGTACACTGCATAATCCTTGTATAGTGTGGTAATACACATAACACACAGTGCATTAGAGTGTTAAAATGAAAGTACAACACTGTGTTTACAGGGAGATGTAAAGTAGTTCTATGAGTTTGTTGTCTTCACTGAATTCTGCCTTATCACTTGAAGACCGGGGCCGCGTATTTGCAAATCAACAAAGAAAGAATCACTGTAAACCCTATGTACACTTGCACGTGCATGTCTGGCCTGCTCTGGGTTACCATATTAAACGCAGCAGTAATGCCACCTGAATCTGTGGGAACATCATCTTCTGATTGCTACAGCATTACAGGTGAAATTACAGGTCTTTTATGTAACATCTTGGAGCTGCGGTGGCTCGGACGGCAAGGGTGTCTTGCCCCTGCCTGGGAGGTCCCGGGTTCAATCCCAGGTAGGGGCAATCAATGTAGTTTGCTCTAATTCCTTCCAGATGGTTCCCAGGTCCACTCAGCCTGCTTTCCAAATGAGTACTGGGGGTTAATCCTTCTGGGGGTAATATGCCGGCCGGAGTGTGCTGCTGACCACATCACCTCCACTTCCAGTGTCGGATGGTTGAGGAAAATGGTGGCCCTTGCCCCCCCCCCTCCCCCACGGGCCTTTAAGGCCTGAAAAGGGGACCTAACCTACCCACCTTATGTAACATCTCGTTTCTTTCTGTCGGCCAGTGTCTCGCAAGAGGAGGAAGAAGAACTGGGAGGAGGAGGATTTCTATGACAGTGATGATGATGCCTTCCTGGATCGCACCGGAGCCGTGGAGAAGAAGAGGAAGGATCGCATGATGAAGGCTGGCAGGATCCAGGAGAAACCTGAGACCTATGACTCCCTGGTGAGGAGAGAGAAGACCTGGGGTCTTGGAAACAAGTCAATTATTACAACTTGGACCGGTGTTGCACTGGGCTGTAATTGTTACGAATTCTTTCCATCAGTAGCAGAATATAATTCAAGTAAATAATTGATCCAGCAATCCTGACCATTTAAATCTGAGAACAGGGGGTCACGTCTTTACACAAAGGGTGATGGGAGTATGGAACACGCTACCCAGTAATGTTGTAGAAGCTGGTTCCCTGGCATCTTTCAAGAAATAGCTGGACTAGATCCTTCGATGAATTTAGATACTAGCAGACAAACGAGTCAGATAAGCTGAATGGCCTCCTCCCAATTGAGACCTTTCGGATGTTATGACCTAACTGATCCATAGCAAATAACCCCCATCACTTTCATTTCTCACCTATTTATTGCTTGTTGTATACAGTGTGTATATATATATATTCCTTTGCAAATCTAGGTTTTTTAGCAAGTAAACAAATCTTTTTGTTTTCCCAGCTAGCCATCAGTGATTCGGCTGAAAACAGAGTTGGGTGTTTTACATGTCATGTACATTTACATGATAAATATCCGTACCTTCTTTGAGAAATGGCCTGCAGTTTTGCTTGCTGTTTCTAAAAAGGCAGTTCACCACGTCTAATCCCTGCATTAGAAATATGTAATAATCTTTGTTTTATATAGGTTACAGGTCTCTAATCTCAGCCGTCTAATAATCTTTATTTTATGTAGTTTACAGGTATCTAATCCCAGCCTTGCACCTAGTGGGCCTGGATGATTGTGAACTTTCATGTGGTTTCTTTAAATAACACTTTTTGAAACGAATACACTTTCAGGTGGTCAAGCTGGAAGATGTGGAGAGAGAGCTGGCTGAAACCGAGCAGAAGCTCAGCAGTTCCGGAAAGAGTGAGTCAACACCACCTGGGTTTCACGTCTCCTCATGCAGCACGGCGCTTGCTGGCTCTCCACCGCGGGCAACGGGCACTCTGCTGCACCGTGGAGAAGCCATCCCGATTAAAGCAACAAGATTTTCCTTGAACTAAAGCTCCCAAAGCATGGTTTGCATGCCCAAAGTCAGACCTGATTTTCTGTCATTTTCAACAATTACTTCTTAGTATTTATAGTTTCACCTGCGTGAACTGGAGCAGTTTTAGAATGAGGATTTAACCTTGACCTACAAAAAACCTTATTTCATTAGGGTTTGTCTCAGTTGTTTCTGTGTGTGTAATCTCATATGATTATGTACTCGTAATGAACAATTCTACTAATGGATTTGATTTGCATAGCTGATATAACATCTTGTTCCTTTTTTGTTCTTTCACTTGGCCTTTACAGTACAGTCACAGTAGGTGTTACCGCAGGGCGGCAGTTTTAAACGAAAAGTGCTTGATGTGTTTCTCACCTGGCGCCTGAGTGACCTCTGCCCGTTCCCTCCCAGGCTCTGACCCCTCGTCCTCGGAGGACCCCCTGGACGCCTTCATGTGTGAGGTGCGGAGCGGGGCTGCCCTGGACAGCATGGCACGCAAGAAGCTGCACGTCCGCATCGCCGAGCTGCGCAGGGAAAGGCAGCGTCTCCAGAAACTCGTGGAGATCACGCGCCCCGCACAGCTGCCAGCACTGCAGCCCACGTGAGAACGGGGTACATTTGGGGTTCTGTCCTGAAGAGCTGCTGGAACCCTGCTTCTCTTGTCTCAGGGTTCTGTCCTTCTCTTATTCACACCGGGTTTCTGGACTATTAAGTAAAAGCTGTATGAGATACTTCAGTTAAGGAATGTGTGTGTTTTATTGATCATCCTGTGTGTTGTAATGTTATTCTGATTGATCATCAGAAAATCTATAATGGTGGAATACTTTAAATGAAACTATGAAAAAAGATTAGTTGGGATGAATAAATTCTGCGGTTCTGATTCTCTTCATAATTTATCCCCACAAGAATCAAGTCAGTGCTAACTGCCGAGGTCTTATCGGTTTAAATTGTTATATTGTGTCAAGTGATATCTAATGACCAGTGGGTAGCGAGGAGCCGCTGCAAAATGACGCAGAACAACATCTGCAAATTAAGTTCTTGTTTGTGTGCATCTCCACCTGTTCTCCCCAGGGGTGGCAGCCAGCCCACAGAGACGGAGAAGCCCAGGAAGCTCTGCTTGCCCATGTTTGGTGCCATGAAAGGAGGCAGCAAGTTCAGGCTGAAGACTGGCACTATAGGGGTGAGTAAGGGGCACCAGAGCAGGGCAGGTGGTAGAGATGCACTGTCAAATCCCAGCCGCTGTCTGTCACCTTGTGCTGGTTTCTTTAATGCCTGCTGTGCTTTCGTTCCCTCTTCCTCAATAGTGCTTGCCCCCGAAACGCACAGACTTGCCTCCCGAGCTCCTGAACATGAAGGAGATGCTGCCAGGGCAGGAGGAAGAGGAGGAGGAGGAAGAAGAAGAAATGCCTGCATCACAGTTGAAGGACAAGGCATCGGACAAGCTGGGGCCAGAGGAAGCTGGCATGTCCTTCCAGGAAGAGGAGCCATCCGAGACACACAGCTCTGGGGATTCTGGGGGTGAGGATTGAAACTGTAGGGCCAAGAGAGCAGCTGATGCACAAAACATGAGCAAACTGGCTGTAACAACAGTAAAAGAGAGGGAGGCTATGGTTCCCAGGGTACGTAACTGAATAAGACAGAGGTAATTCAGACTACAAATGAGCCAGAGACTCTTAAGACTTTACTCTGGGCTTTGTTACTGCTTTTTAATTTGTTAGAGATTCAATACCGATTCCTAGTGACTGTATTGATAATTTGCTACTGATCTTTATGCCACTGTTATTATGCCTTATGAACAAAAGCAAACTGCTTGGTAACATAAGGTAATAAAGTCAGTATTACGAAAATAAAAACTTAAAGAATAAAAAAAACTCTGAATTGGATTCATCTGGGAGTTCAGATCACCAGAGGTCTCACTGATTGTTCTTCTCGTCTTCATGTTGACTGACACAGCACTTGTACCCAGTTCAGACAGCAGGTGGCAGCAGACTGCTGAGTGACGAGCTGCCTGGGGGATTGAATTGAATTAACCTTTATTGCCCCTAAAGGGAATTTGGATGCAGGGAGAGCTCAGGACAGCGTCATCAGCATTTAAAGCAGTGCTGCTCACCTCATGTAAAGATAAACAAAATTACATATTAGCCTCTCTAGGTCTTTTTATTTTTTGTGGATTTAGTGATTCACTTTCCTAAGAAATGTCACGCAAGCTTTAAATGCTTAAAATTGACAGTTAAAATGTTGGCTTACCTTGTATTTAAGGGAAATTTACTTTGCCTCGTGTTCTCTGTGTTGTAAAAGAAAATGAAATCGGCCTCCGCTGCCGAGGAGGCGGCTGAGCTCTCTGGAGGTTGAGTAGCCCTGTGATCCCCAGCAGGCAGGCTGCTGACTCCATGTCTCTGTGTTCAGGGAGGCCCCCGGCTGCTGCCCGGCTGGAGTCCGATACAGGGGATGGAGAGATGAGACCCCCTGGCCCTGAAGCCCCCAGTACTGCCTCCACACCCCAAGGTACCCGTCTCCCACCCAGAGCCCCTGTTGGCATAGCCTGGCCCCTGTTCTCTCAGTCTGGCCCTCAGCCCCTCCTTCCTGATACCGACCGGCTTCAGACAGTAACGTGCCCCTGGCCTGGTCATTTGAGTTTTACACCCGCACCACGTAAGGGTTCGCTGTCTTTTACATTGTTTCTCATCCTTCAGCAAGCTGAATAGAATTAGATAGGAGGGACAGTGATAATCTTACTTGATCACTAAAGCAATTATAGTAATGACAGTAAAGAAAAAATATTGTACAAGTGGGGTAAAGTATATCTTTGTGGTTTACAGGTTCTCAGAGGGTTGTTCTAGTATAGGGAAACCCACTATTTTAGAAAACAAAATAATTTAAACTATCAATATATGACTGAAGCCAGTTAATAAAAGGTTTTCAAATGAAAACTACACAGAAGAGCATGTAGGACTAAGAACAGAAGGCACTTCTTTATTCAGAGGGTGGTGGATGTGTGGAATAAAATTCCCAGCCATGTGTTTGAAGCTAATGCCTTGATTTCTTTCAGATGAGATCATCGGATCAATTAGCTACTAATGACCAAATAGAATATATTAGCCGAATAGCCTCCTCTCATTTGTAACCATTCATATGCTCTTCTGAATCTCTAGATTTCCTGTTTCTTCTAGTCTGTATGAACACAGATCTGTGTTAGCAAGAATTGTACTTTAAATAACAGTTACATTTTCTCTGGACAATGTGGTCTGCAGTATGGGTAGTTAAGGGAGCTGTGTACAGTGAGGCTGTGAAGATCAGGTGAGTTGTGGGGTGGGGTGATGGTGATTGTGGGTAATTAAGGGAGCTCTGATCAAGGAGGCAGTGGAGATCAGGTGGTCTGTGGTGATGGGTGGGTCTGGATAAAAAGTTCCATTTGAGTGGTCATACTGTAAATTACCCTCTTGTGATGTGTGTATATAAGCTCCTTGGCCTGAGAACAGTGCTGTCCCCCCATGTGCAGGGTCCGTGCGGACTGGCGATGCGAAAGCAGCAGAAGCAAGTCCCAAGAAGAAGAAGAAGATGTGTGGTCCCAGCAGGGTGAGTACCTGCATCACCTCAAGAGTAGCTTCATTATCCTATCATATCCATAGTGAGACGCTGCCCTGATTCCTGGTGAATCATCACCCAATGTTTTGATTAGACATTTTTTTGACTGGAGCCTTTTGGACAATACAAGGCTAAAGTGACTTGAGCACTATGAGAGTACAGGTTTGTTATCCTTAACTAAAAGAAACATTTCTGTAGTGGGGTATTTGTAATTGGTTGTGAAAATGATATTAGAGAGATAGGGGCTCTCTGGACACAACCATACAAACTCCTCTCAGAACCCCAGCTGCCCTGTTACAGTCTCCTGATACAGGGTTCCCACGGTCATGCAAATCCTGGAAAAGTTGTGGAAAATGACATTTCATTTTCCAGACCTGGAAAAGTTTGGAAAATTATAAAAATATCCATTAAGTTCTGGAAAAGTCATGGAATTTTTTAATTGACCCAAAATTAACATGGTTGTATCATATTATTTTTTTCATAAGTTAGCAAACTTTTAAAAAGAGGCCGCAGCGTTGCCGTTGCCGACATCACACGTTATAGAGCCGCGTCAGACCCTCTCGGGGCAATTTTATAGTGAGCCGTAAACTAGTCTAGCGCCCATGTCAAAACGCCGGGTAAATGTGTTTTCAGCGTCCTCTGGTTAGCAGATGGAAAAATCCAAGCTATGGCTCCAAAAAGATGTAGACCCAGGACGTGCGAGATATAAATTAAGCAGGAAAAGAAGTTATGGGAAAAGTTTTGGAATTTTGTTGGTAAAAATGAGTGGGAACCCTGTTGATAATACTGCTCTCTCTCACCTGCTGCTGACCATTGTTCTCCCTGTGTCTCCCCAGCCGCCCGCTGGCCTCCTCTCGGCCCGGTATCCAGAAGATGACCCCGACTACTGTGTGTGGGTCCCGCCTGCAGGTACACCCGTCCTGGCAGGCTCTCGTCACAGCCCTGGGGGAGTCGGGGTTGCGGACTGCTAGGCCGTCAACATGGAAAAAATGCTAATTCATGTACCGTTAAGAAGCAGAATTAGAGACGTCGCTGCTAGCTCTGGTGCCCCAGAGTACACTCTCCAGAGGTCGTGCCTCAGAGGTTGTTTGGGAAAATCAATGTGTGCTTATTCATACTGGAAACACACAAAGCCCAGAGATCTCATGCCATCTAGATTCCTGATTGTTTTGTAGAGGAGCTGTTCAACTGAGAGCATCTGGACACAGATCTGAACAGTCCAAGTATACAGAGACCATTTACCAGTATTGAATCAGTATCAGTATTGATAGCTTAAGTCATTATGGGATTACAGGTGACAGGCTAGAATCTCTCACAGTTCACAGTGCTTCTATATAGAGAGCTCTGCATGTCATCAGTGCAGAGCAGCCTCACAATCTTCAGGACTCTTGTTTTTTCCTTTGAATTGAGTTTGCATGTTCTGCCCCATTCCCATGCAGGTTTTCTCCAGGTGCTCTAGTTTTCCCCCCCTCCCTCTAGACATGCTGCCTGGGTTAATTGACATCTCTAATTGACATAGAGGGCTATTGACACCCCATCCAATCACCCAAGCTCTGTATGCTTCTGAGATGGGACCCCTGATCATAAGCAGGTTTGCCGATGATGGGTGGAAGGTTTATTTTTTTAACCTTGATATTATTAAAGCACTAATAATGTCGGTATGATAATCCACAAGGACTGTTTATGCAGTGTAAATGACACATTGACTAGACACTGGTCTTCTGTAATTTCACATGTTCCCAGGCAGCATTTGAGATCTGAGCTAGCCCGTTTCAGAGTCAGTCACAGTGACAGAAACCTGTGCAAATATGCTCAAGCAAAGGTAAAGATTTACATACAGGTCGTGGAAAGAAAATGGAAACACCAATGTAAAGTCACTTAATAGGGTGTTGTACAGCCTGTATGTACCATACAGTAGTCTGAAATCTAATAGAAAGGAAGATGGAAAACACCATCATAAAAGCACAATGGGGCTCAGACATGGGGACTGAGAAGACCGTGATAGATGGCTAACATCTGTGTCAGGCTCAACATGTGGTGAACACATGTGCTCTGTGGATAGGGACATTGTCATCCTGGATGAAACCCTTCCTGGCAGGAAATAAACGCTGCAGAATGGGATGAACCCTGAGATGATCCCTCAGTACCATCATTAGCGATTAGCAGACCTTGTCTTCAAAGGGAACAAGTGCACCCAAACCTTGCCAGTAAAAGCAATGGATCCAGAGCTCTTGACTGCTAGAACTGGCACTCAAGGGCTGTAGGCACTGTAGGTTGGCGCCACACATGCACTCGTCCAATTGTTGAGGACATGGTGAAGGATGATTCATCTACCTCATCACATTTCTCCACCACCTGTGCTCTTTGCATTACTGGACTCACAAACATGCATTTCCAGGGGAGATGAGCAGAATGAGCTGCAGCCTGACTTCGGTGGAGGTCTGAGGACTGTTTATAATGAAATGACCCCGTGGTGGAAATTGGCAGTAAAATGACGTGCAGTTGCTTATTTGCTTTGCCTTGGTCTTTGAATTAATGCACAGCTATCACGATCCTATCCTGCAGTGTGCACTTCCACCCCCAGTTTTCCTCTGCTTGATGACTTTCCCTCGGAGCTGCGTGCTGACATTGCCTTTGACACAGCTGCTCATAAAACATCAGCAGGTTGAGATGTCCTGCTCAATTAAACATACCCCAGCTAGGCCTGTCCAGCATGTTTGTACATGACCTTAAGCATGCTAAGATGCGGTTTGCTTAAAGAGTTGCAAGTCTCACCTGTGTGGAAGCCCTTGCTTTCTTTAAATTTGGTGTTCCTCATTTATCCAGGTGGTCCCATTTTTTCTGTCCACTGTCTCTGATGCACACAAGCGTCTGGTTCACATTTTGGCCTGATCTGGTCAGGGTTTTTTGTTTTACTTCTTTTTTTGAGAAATTGAAAGAGCTAACAGTTGGCAGAGATGCAGAGGGAGATTTTCTTAAGATGGAATTTGAATCAGGGACTTTTGGGTCTTCATGTTTCCTGGAAGAAAAAATGTTTTCCAGTGATACTCATGTCTTAAGAGGGTAAAAGGCTGTAGGCCATGTTTATTTTTAATAACATGTTACTTTGGTTACTGATCTGATTCCGAGTTTTAACTCAGTATGGCCAATGCACAGACAAACAGGGAGAGCAAGTGTTGCTTGTGTGACAGGGCTCAGGGCAGATCTTCTGGTGCAGCGGTGCTCACCGATGTCTAGGGAGTGGCGCTGTGCCCTCAAGTGCCCATCGAGTCCCAGCAGGGCCAGAACAGAGCTACACTTGTCACACTAGCTCGGCTTAGGTAGACAACCCTGCCAAAGTGAGGAGGAGGCCACGCAGGAATTCTTTTGCATATGGTTCAGAATGAAATCCCCAAGGAAGAGCTGATTTGTGTGTCTCCTCCCACTGGTTTCGCCTCTCTGAGGACAGGTAGGTGCTCTCTACACTTGCACTGGCTAACCGCAGTTTCCTTTGTGTCCCAACAGGTCAGACAGGGGACGGCCGGACTCATCTTAATGAGAAGTATGGGTACTGAGGTCAGAAGTCGGACACCCACACAAGAGGGACTTGTTCTTTCAGCGACCTGGCGCCAAGCAACAAAAGCCCTGGCTCACAATTTTTCTTCTTCCTCCCTCCATCACTACATTTTCCCTGATCTTGCAAAACTGTCACCTCGTTAAACACTGCACAGGAGAAAAGGGACTGAGAGTCTTCCTCGCACAGGAATGTACTGTTAGACCTGTCACAGCACAGCAGGGTGTCTCGCTGGCCCTCATGCCTTCAGAGCCAGAGGTAACGAACCTGTCAGCATGTAAGTGTGGACTCGCAGATATCACAAGTCATCACCTAGCCCTGGGTGACCTTTGACCTCCATTTAATGTGCTTCAGCATGTCAGTTTTCTCATTTTGCAGAAAGAGTGAAACAAATCATTAGGCTGTTTCATTTGAACCTTTTTTGGTTTCTGAATTATCGTTTGGACTGGAAGATGTAAGTGTGCACTACCTTCGGAACTGTTCTCTGCATCTTTAGGTGTTTTTTATTGCAAATGTTCACAAGTGTACAATACAAGCTTGTTTTCCTAGATCTTAACTCTCTGACAGACTGGAGGGAACTATGTCCTCAAGCTATTGAGAACAGGAATAGTTTTTCACCCAACCTTGCTCCAACCACCCTGTAAATAACGTGAAGTCTCATGCTTAATATTAGAAGTCAATCTTATCTCTGTATATTTTGATATTGCTGTTTATATAATAAATATTATACTGTATATAATGCTGCCATTTTCATCTCGTTAATATACTGTATGTAATACTACAGATAAGAAATGTCTGTTTGAAACTTCATTTCAGTTTCAAACTGTAAAAAGCTTGTATATAATTTAATTTTAGATACCATAGGTACAGTTCATGTACTGTATAATATGATTGAATTGAATATAATTATTGACATTAAATCATAAACACAATTGTATAGATACATGTTTTCAAATATAATTTGAAAGCAGAAACTACTTAACACATCCTCTTAACTTATTACACACCCTCCATCTTTGATGACGTATACACCTATTTATGTGTACTATATATACCAACCATGGTCTTGCACTCAGATGCCCAATTCCAATGGCAGATCTCCACCAGCCACGCTTTTGACTTGTTTCTTTACACGCCACTGATGCCTGTTTGCCGCTGCAGTTGTGCGCTGACTGTATTCAGTGCTACAATCTGCACCGGCTGCGTGTGCAGCGCAGCAGCAGGGCAGTAAAGCAGGAGGCTCCACATCCTGTTTCTCAGGTCTATGTTTCTGCACATTACATGGAGCATAAAAATCCCATTATTAAACTTTGTAATACAAAGTCAGTGTTTAATTTCCTTTATCCCATCCCAGTAGGGTGTTCCAAAGGCCCTCTTGCCTCCTGGACATTATGGGATGCTTGCAGGGAAGCAGTCATTGTGTTTGACCAGTTGGTGAGGTCAGGGGCGAGGAGACACATGAGGTATTAAGCATGATTATGTCCCTGATCCTGCTTGCTTGCATTGAAATGTTTATTCCACAGATGGACAACATGAAACATGCTGTTGAGGTGGAGAAGTAGAGCTCTAGTGCTCCCCTCAGTCCTTCATACAGCAACACCACAAAAAAGATCTGGTCTGGATGACTTTCTTCTGTCACCGGTGCAGGGCAAGAATAAACTGTGGCAGTAATATAATGCAATTCAAATGTAATCTGGGGCAGCACAATGGTGCAATGATTAGTATTGCAGCCTTGCTGTGCTGGGGCCCTGGGTTCAATTCCTGGGGTACTGTCTGCATGGAGTTGGCATGTTCTCCCTGTGTTCACACGAGGGATCGGCTGAGCCCCCTGCTCCATCCCACATTAATAGATGACCAAACCAGAAAGGATTAGAGACAACTGGAAGAAGACATTCACATCAGCCTCTGTCCCAGACCCCACAACACAGTCCCCAGTCCGAAGGCTCCAGCTCCTCGACTGCTTCGCCAGTCTTCAGCCTGAAAACTGGCTGTGCTATCATGGTATCAGCTGTGTATTTAGAGTGCAGGCTACTGGCTTAACCAACACAGTCACAGGGATTTAGACTGAAGCCTCACAGCTACCTACACACCCCACTGCTACTCTTTGGGCCATCTTGGACAGGACATCAACCACCCTGGTGCTGCACCTGACACAAGCTGGTGTTGTACATATTGTTCCAGCCAATAAAGAGCAGTCTGACTGTAAGACGTGTGTGTGGGTTGTGACTTTGATCTGTTCCCTACTGAGTACCAGTGCCTCTAATGTGAGCTACCCCACATGGCTTCAACAAAGTCAATCTGGCAGACTTCTTCATAATGAACAATAAAACACAATGGAAGCACTTCTTTAAGCAAAGGGTTGTGGGGAGTGTGAAACAAACTACCCAGACATGTTGTTAAAGCCAGTACACTGGATTTTTTCAAGAAAAGGCTAGATGAGATTCTCAGATCAATTATTGTAAGTACTGACTAACAGTTGGGCTAGATGGGCCTTATCTTGTTTGTAACCTTCCTTATTACTTACCTTTCAGAAGTATGGATAATCCATCGATGAAGAGAATTGTTTACACCCAAGTCCCTCTGCCATCCCAAACACCGCTGAACCCAGCCCATGTACAAATGAAACAGGGAAGAGCTCCACCCATGTGGTCATAAGTCATATATTTTTACTTTGGAATATATGCGACACTTTCACAGGGAAGGAAAAAAATAATGACTTCTTTCTGATAGTACAACATTGCCTCAAACCATTACCTTGTAACACTTTAAGCATTTGATCTTCATACATTTGCATTGTCATACATTTGCATTTATCTGCATAAATACAGTACATCTTATGTTCATTCATCTGCATACTGTACATCAACTTTTACAAGCTCCACATTCACTTACACAACTGGGCCAGCCCTCGGTGATTGGATTGTCTCCTCTGTGTGTGACGGCAAAAGATCGGAGGGTGAGAGCAGGCAAGCTGCATAAGTCCATAGTGCACTTTCTTTCACGTTGCGTCGTCACTGGTGACAAAGGCCTTGTTCATACATTAGCTTTTGCTGTTAACTCCACAAAGTCACAAGTAATGGTGACCAGCAACAAATGTGTGGTTTTATCCAAGCATGGTTTTGTGTATATCATTACTATAAATCTTATTACTGTAGAATTGTTAAGGTGCATTCGCTTTAAGGGAAATGTGAAAAATGCAGATTGTATGAATGTCACTTTTAAGTTGAAACACTGTTGTTCTGAGGGTAGTGCGGTGTAAAGAAGTGTCTACTTCAGAAATGTGGGAGAATTTATTTTTTTACTAGCAAGCTTCTTTTATCTTCAAGAGGTTAGTGTCCCTCACTCAAATTCAAATTCCAATCTAGATGAAACCCGTCTGTGACCAGCACTGAGTGTGTCCCTACCCATGAGCTGACACAATGCTTACCCCCTAGTCTAGAACAAGGCGTGATTGTTTCGTTAGCGCCTTCAGGTACACTGCAGGGAGCTCCTGAGCCACTTCTCAAGCCCCTGCAGCACACCCTCATCAATTCCCCTGTGCTTCGTGAGTGCCCCACAGCAAGGTGGCAGGTTTGAATGCAGCAGTTACTGCTTTACCCGATGTCCTGACGGCTTTCTTCAAAATCCCTTCTCCCTGCCGCTGGGCAGGCCACTCTTCTGCGGTCTTGCTCCAATCCTACGGGATGCCAGCAGGATTTCTTCGGAGGCAAAGGGCAGCAGACGGAAAATACAGTAACTAAGAGATCTGAAACGATCGTAGGCTGGCAGCTGAAGCCGGCTGATTCATGCAGCTGGCCTGCTTTGAAAGGGAGGAGTAATGCTTCCCTTGAAAGGCAGACAGATCGTAGGACCAAATCCTTCTCCGCCTGCGTGTTTCTAAACAGTCTTGATCCAGACCCTGAGGGAAGGGGTGGAATCTGGTTCCTGCTGGTTTCTGTGTAATTCTGTATATAACTCCACTCTGTTTACTGCTGAGCTTATATGAGATTCCTGAGAAAGAGAGAGCAATCTGGTTTGCAAGACACTTCATTGCTTTTGTTTTTTGTTTTTAATCAGATCCTAACTAATATTAAAAGTAACCTTCCCGATGGAAAGGTTCCTGGGAGGACGAAGTGAGCCCAAAGTTGTGTTCTCCTCCTGGGATGTCTTTGTCTCAGGGTGGAGGTGGGGGCTCCTCCACCTCAAGCACAGGGAGGCTCCTCTGGGGGGGTCCGGGGGCTACAGGGAGGGGCAGTGCTCAGCGAGCGGAAGGCGAAGGTCGAAGGGTCGTAGGTGTACCTGGGAAGGGAGCGGCTGCTGTTCGAACCCTGAAAGAAAGCAGAGGATTGACCATGAAGGAGCGCGCAGAGGTTAATTCCACGAAAGAAGAAACACAACCTTGTCTTTCAGGCGCGCAGGAGAAAAAGGAAGGCAGCAGGGATATAAAAGCACAGGAGGACAGAGGAGGGGGAACGAAGGGGAATTTCAGTCAGAGGCCTGAGTAGGTGAGACTGGGCAGTGAAAAAGACTATGAGCAAGAAGAAGGGGAACTGGGAAAGAGGTGGAAAAAGCTGGAATCTGTAAATGAGCAGAGAGAATTTAAAAAAGAAAGTCTCAGTCTGAGAGAAGGTGGAAGGTGTGATGCGTGTGTAAGGATAATCTAGGATGCCAATGTTTTCCTGCAGCAGAAGTCCTGAATCCCTCCATGGTAAAAGCCACAGTTTGTTGGACCCTGCTGGTCACACAGTGGCTGGAAATCACGCCTGGTGTACCGGTCAAGATCTCTTTGTCTTTACCTGAGGTGTGCAGCTCTTCAGCGCCAATTGCTCGCTGCACAATGGTACCCTGAATCTACCCTTCTGTAAACCCGGCCTCTCCAGGACTGTTAGCAGAGCATGCAGGAAAGCAAGCAGAACTCGGTGTAATGAGAAACATTTGTCCAATGTATCTATAGATCAATATATTTTATTACCCTCACTTTAGCTGGATGTAAAAGGAACGCTTTGTTTCGAGCAGGTCTGTCTTCTGTTCTATAATTGCATTAATGGTATTCCCCTATCCGTAAGCATGGTTCAGAAAGTTGTATTCCATATTTAGAAGGAAACGCTTTGTTGGCTGCTGGTGCAGACACAGCCCAAGTGTAGTAAATTAGGATGGCTTTTCTCTTCCATAATTTTTCAATTTGCCTCACACATCTCCACCCCCATGGTCTCGGAGACCCCCTCCACGGCCCCATGGAGACGGGTCAGCCGGCCTCTGAACTATTCACGATGAGATCAGACCATTCAGATGACTAGAGGGGATCGTTTCTATGTGCTGAAGTCATGCTATGACAGTATCGAGCCGAGCTCTGAACGGTGCCAGCACAGTAACAATCACACAGCACTACCAAGCCAACACTGTGAACGATCTTTCAAAACAGCAGGATCTTGGAGCCAGCTGGCTCCGATTTTATATTAATTTAATTAGTGTAACAAGCTTCAAGATACCACTCTTAGTCCACTTAAGAGACTTGAGATTTGAATTTGTGAGGGACGTTTCATTCATTCTGGCCTCAGGGGTTCCTACACGGAAAGACTTGTGTCTTTTACCAAGTGTTACTCGGCACATCCTTCACTCCCAATAAAGCTGTAAAAAATACTGGTAATTATGCTAATAATAGTTCACACTGGCACAGTGCTGCACCTACATCCTCCATCACGAACTGCAGCTAGAGCAGTCCATCACAGGACACTCCAGGGCCAGCAGGTATAAGAGGTTAATGTTATTATCTTAATGGGTGCAGTATTAATAGCCAGCTATAGCTCTGCTCTTCCCCAGATTAAGAGCTTATGCAGAGCGAGGTCACGATGTGCATCCTCCACACTTGGTTCATGAGTGATTACACTACAAGCAATCAGCATGTCTATGCCAGTTTTAAATGAGCTTGCTTTAGCCCAATTATTGAAAAGAGTTGCTCACTGACATTTACATTTGGTGGCACATGCAGGTCCCAGTGTCAATTTTCCTCTCTATTTTAGCCAACGGTAGTGCAGTGGTTAGCACTGCTGCTTGGCAGCACTGGATCCCTGGGTTCAATTCCTGTGGTGCTGTCTGTGTGGATGTCTCCTTGTGTTTGTGTGGGTTTCCTCTGGGTGTTCTGGTTTCCTTCCACAGGCTAAAGACAGAGGTTAATTGGCTTCTGGGAAAACTAGCCTTGGTGTGAGTGTGTGTATCTGTGTCTGGGTGTGCCCTGCGACTGACTGGCAACTCATCCAGGACATATCCTGCCTTGTACCCGTTACTTGTTGGGATGGGCACCGGCTTCCCTGCTATCCAGTACTGGATAAAGCTGTAATCTCCATGAATACATTTAGGTATGCTAACCACACAAGGACAGACTGGCGTACTACATTACGAATTTGTTCAGAATCGTCAACAGCCGAGAATGTCTGTGGTACTGTCATTTGGTATTGAATTTGCACATTCCAAATACCTATATTCTCCAGGCAGCCAGCTGCACAATTTAAAAACTGCTCTGTATCTCAAGAGACTGAATTTATCAGCAGAAATTCTCCAGAAATTGAAGAGAAAGGTTCATTTCTGGAAGCACAGTCTCCAGTCACATACTATATTTTTATACACTAAAGTAGCTAAACACTTTTCCTTTAACAAGCCTGAAAATAGTGCTGTGTTGGGGACAACTATACAAGCTCCTAAACATTAATGAGACCATTCGATCAAGAACATGCTCTGATCCAGTTAAATCAAGGATGAATCATTTATTTAAAAAAAAAACAGGCTTGCAACAAAGCTTTTTGAAACTGGAGAGGCCAGTTTATGGAAGAAGCAGGCTGAGCTGATCAGATCGTTTCTAAAATTAGCCCCCGAGTCATTTTCATCAGCAGGAAATGGCTTGTTGACTTGGCACGGACACCACGCTTTCTCTGGCCTGAACAGTCGCTGATGGCGCTGCGTCTCGCGGTCAGCCAGGAATGTGCCGATGGACGATAGGACAGAGCTCCTTATCTGATTGTGCCTCAGCCCAGGAGAGCACATGGGGCTCTCGCTCTCTCTCCGGGACAAATCGCCCCAAAAGGAGACGGATTTTAAAACTTAACCATCTGCAATTTGCAACAACCAAAAAGTTGAAAAAGTTCAAATGGAAGCAGTTCGAATGTAGCTATGAGTCTCACAGCCTCCCCCCATAATGTTATTCAACACGGTTTCCTGAACCTGTTTTTGTTGCAAGACTTGTGTTGGATTGCAAACTTTTTTTTTCCCCAGAAACAACATCTACATCTATCAAAAACCAAGCTGGCTTATCGTATGGATTGATCCAGTCTCACACCCCCCAAGGCTGTCCTGAGATCTGCTTTAATCAACATCCTACCCTCTGTACTGTAACTAGGACATATTCCACTACAGAAGAGGAGATTTGATTCAAGGATATAGACAGCATTATCACAGGGAACTGTTTTACACTCAGTAGCGGAAAGCATACATGTAGTCACAACTAGAAACTAAATAAGAATTTGTTTTGAACAGTGAGCAGTAAACACTACTTTACACAAAGAGTTGTGGGTGCCCAGAACAGAGTTCTCATCCAGCTGTTGTGGCCCAAACTCTGGGCGATTTAAGAAATGGGCTCACATAATTCCTGAAGAGGTTTGAGTGGTGATCTGGGAGGAGGCTGTAGAGGTTAATATGCTGAAAAGTAGAAGGAAACAAAACACACAGAAGGGATCCAGAGGCCAAAGCAAGCCAAACAAATTTCAGGGTGGAATTAGCCTCTCATTCACACTACATCAATTTTAAAAACCATTTATCCAATCCAGGGTCACAGAAGTCCGTACCCTATCCTGGGAAGCATGGAAGGTGCAAGAAAGGATACAGCCTGGAGAGGACTCCAGTCCATCACAGCACACCTCAGGTGCACAGACAAAAGTGCACCAGGGCCAATTTTCCCAAAAGCCAATTAACCTAACAGTATGTCTTTGGAATGTGGGAGAAAACTGGAGCACCTGGAGGAAATCCAGACAAACACAGGGAAAACAACCAAACTCCACAAAGACAGTACTCCAGGAGTTGAACCCAGGGCCCAACTGCTGACCACTGCTCCACCGTGCTGCCCCAAGCCTCTTCTTGTCTCTGTATCAGGCTGTATTGCGAAGGAGCTGCAGCAAGGTGTGCTCTTCTAAATCCAACATCCACCCTTCATTCTCATTCCCCTCATTCCCACCCGCAGTCTCAACTCCGACACGCCTGATCCTGGGGCAACCCTCTGAACGAGCCCACAACTGCACCCCTCACCCCTGCCCCGACAGGAAGTACCTACCATAGACAAGAACCTGGAGTCTGTTGATGAACTTTGCGAGATTAACACTTTGAACACTTTAAAACAAGGGATAAGGGGTAAAGATACACAGAACATCTTTCATTAAAATATCTCAAGACCCGAGTCCAGATGATTTCACCAAACTGTTTCAATATGGCTACAGGACACACAGATGGCCTAGCCTACAAGTGTCATTCTAATGATCTTGCCCTCTTTTACTTTTTTTTGTTTAGACCTCATACAGTACCCCAGTGTATGATATGGTTATCATTAGCCATTGCAAATGCATTGCAAAGAGGCCAGCCTCAAAAAGGAACCATATGTTTTCAGCCCAATTTGCCCAGTGCGGTGGGCTGGGGGCTGGGATACAGCAAACTCCATGTGTTATCAGAAATCTCTCCTGGTTCTCCACAGGGCTGTGCTGGGCTGGGCCTCATTCAGTTCGGGGACAGACACTCAAGAGGAAGGACAAGACTATTCCCGGTGCCATGAGGGGGGCCAGACACTGTCAAGGGTTGATTAAGTGGTTCACACAACCATGCAAAAAAGAAATCACAAAAACTGCTGGGGTCTTTGGTTTTGGGGTACGTCTATCTTTTCCAGGCATGTAATCTAAACAGAAGTTGAGGCGATGAAATGAAAGAACATTCGCCTACTTTCAGTTCAGTGAACAGAATTATGAGTCTGGGTGAAAGAAAGACTGAAGTGAATCTTCAGAAAAAGTACTACTCTGGTACTCTGACATTCTGGGCTTGTTTTGTCCCTGGCAGTGTGTCAAAGACACAAAAACTGCTCTTCGGTGATCTCAAAACGCACATCACTGACGGACTCCACCCAGTACAGCTGTTTCCCATGCACAGCATTGCCACTGGCCAATTTTTATTTTAGCTCTTCAAAGGCACGACTAAGAAGGTTAACACCAGTTAACATCACTGAATACTGTATGTGCTCACCGCGGGGGAAAACAATGAGAAACTGTCCCCGAAAAGATTTTAAATCCCCCCCCCACAATCGAACTGACTTTTTTTTTTATCAACCAAATTCTATTTAAACAAAAGAGTCTATTTTCCTCCAGTGTGGAGTTTAATTCCGGTGGCGTGCAGAACAGTAAATATCAGTCGGATGAGAAACAACGCGTGTGCGTCTGCTTGCGCGTGGCCCTGGTCTGCCATTGGGCACGAACAGAACTAGTGCTGACGCAAGCAGAGTCGCCCACATGAGTCTCACACGTGTGCTATTCACAGGGAAGGAAGTTCACACAGCTCCGAACGATCCACACGGACACCAACGTCATATCTCACCAGCTCCCCATTCTGTTAATCCATCTGGAAACACACAGGACACTGCCAAAACCCCTTCCCTCAGAGTTTCTCAAGCTGTTCGAGCAGTTCTCCACTTACTCAGCTCAGGACCTGTGCTGGCAAGAGCCTCGAGCTACACTCTTGGGTTTCATTCAAATACAGAGCCGTGAAAAAGTTTGTGAACCCCCTGGGCTGGTCTGTATTCTGCTATAATTTAGTCCTAAAACATAATTAGATCCTCATGAAAGTCTTAGTAAAAGAAGAGGAAAACCAGATCAAAAGACATAACACATAGACATAAGATATATCTGGATTATTTAAAAACATGATCCAACAGTAAATATCCTCATGTGTTTCAATATGTGAACCCTTGGATTCAGTACCTGTTGACAGCTCCCTCAACACCAATGATCAGAACTTGTATTAGTAATTAGTCATTTTGGCCCTTTATTCATTACAGAACTGCTTCCAGTCAGATGACAGCTGAGTGTTCCCCTTGCATGAACAGTTACAGCAGGTCCTGCAATAACTTTTTTAGGTCTGGACTTTGACTTGTCCAATCCAAAGGCAAGAGTTCTTCTTTAGCAGTGCTGCTGGTATGTTTAGGATCACTGACTCCGAATGGCTGCATTGCACTTTCTACTTTCGGCTCAGTTTCAGCTGATGAATGGAAGGCCTGACAGTCTCCTCCAGAATGTGCCGACAGAACTCCAAATTCATAGTTCTGTCAAAGATGGCAAATTGCCCAGATCCTGAGGCAGCAAAGCAGCCCTAAACCATGATACTCCACCACCCTGCTTGACAGTCAGGATGAGCTTCTTCTGTTGGAAGTTTGGTTTTCGTCACACAAACCGTTTCTCACTTTAATCAAAAAGGTCAAGTTTTGACTCATCTGTCCAGAGAACACTCTTCCAGTAGCCCTGTGGATCGTCCTGGTGCTCTTTGGTGAACTTGAGACGTGTGACAATGTTCTTAGAGAGCAGTGCTTTCTTCCTGGCTGTCCTCCCATGAAAACCATTCCCGTTCGGTCTGTTCCTGAGGGTTGAGGCATGAACACTGACGTTAGCGGAGATCCTTAGATGCAACTTTGGGGTTCTTTGTGACTTCCTAGATGACTTTCTGGATTTCTCTTAGGGAGACCTTGGCAGAACAACTGCTCCTGGGCAGATTCATTGTGGTCCTGAATATTTTCCACGTTTATCTAACAGTGAATGTATGGAGCCCCAAATGTTTAGAAGTGATTTTGTAACCCTCTCCAGGCTGAGGGGGTAGAGTAGTTGATGCATTTGGCAACTTTGATTTTACTCCGTCCAGCAAGAGGGACAGGGCACGTACCACGCAGCTAAGTCTTTAAAGGAAGTGGGCAGTGTTATCGCTCTCTCGTTTCTTCCAAACAGTTGGTTCCCTTGGATCACTTGGATTCCATGCACTGGAAATGTCCAGAGCCGTACAAATTTACACCAAAAGAGCAACAACTCAACACTTACCCAGATTTTAACTGTTCTTGTTTTCCCGCCACAGTTCTTCTTAAGAAACATTTTCTAAAAAAAAAAAAAAAAAAATAAAGACAAACTGAGAGGCAGGGATTAGGCACCAACATGCAGAATAAGCACACTGTACCCCATTCTGGATTTCTAGGGAGAACTTTCTGCCGGGACTAATCTCAGTTTACACCCAGTTACAGTCGCCCATGTTATCGCTAACATCACTAATGTCATTTCACAGGCAGGTCTGCATGACCTCCGATATCACGTCAGATCTGTACCCGGGCCATTACATTTCCCCACTCCCCGCATCTCCATTCAGACTTTTAATAAGGCTCATTTCCTGCCCTGCACTCCTTCCTGAGCTGTTCCCACAAACACAGCCCAGCTGCTGAACGATGCCCTGGCATGGAGGGGTTTTTCATTTCCACCCCAGACAGGTCTGCAGTTTGCGTGATTACCGCTTCATCCCACAGAGCTTTCACCCACTGGAAAAGGCTCAGCAAGCAGCAGAAAAAGAAAGATGCAGCTGCTTTATTTTCCGTGAGGGCTGACCAGGCTCTCCTGGTATTTCTACATATTTACCCTGCTTACACCATGCACTTACATTCTTGTGCCTTCCCTGCACTTTATTAGATTGACTGTCTTCCACACTATTCCTGTAAACTGTTATAAGTGTAATCTCCTCCCCCTACACCAGTAAGAAGATTCGGTGGCTGTTGAACTCAAGGGGTAGTGTACATTATCTGCACCGCTGAATATCCTGTTATGTATTTTTTTATTGTCTTTACTCAAATTACAACTCTCCATGTTTCCTAAACCATTAACATGTATTCAGTTGAACAAACAAGTACAGTACAGTTTGTTAAGTAAAGGTCTACAAGGGGCATTGATTAAGCTGACAGTCGAAATTAATTGGGGACGCAAAACTAGTGTCGCACAAAGCACCGAATCCCACCACGCAGCTAAGTCACACCCTCTCGTGAAGAACACCAGCATACAGTACTAAAATGCTCACAGATATTTTACTGCTGGGACACAACACCAGGCAGAAAAAGGAGCAGCAGAATATCCACTCTTGGCCGCCAGACCTTGTGCATCATGCAGAATCTAACACAGCAGACTGTGCCAACAAATGAACATTGTTCATTTTAATATGACAGTACTCGGGAGACTTACTGCTCTGGAATCGGTTCAGTGGATAGAGAGATGGAGTTGTACAGGAGGAAGTGGTATTATATGTTATATACTAGCATGTTCTAGAGGGTACAAGTGGAAACTGAGATAAGGAGGAACTTCATCACACAAGGGATTGTGGGATCATGGGACAAGCTACGTAGCCATACTGTAATTTCAAGAAATGGCTGGATGTGATCCTCGGATCAATTAAGTTGCCACTGCTGTCACGATTATATTGTATAAAATTTATGGACAGATCTGGCCTTCCGCAGTACCCCAAATCATAATGATCCCTCTCTATATTTGCAGTCCCATACCACATACTCTCATCTGTGTAATCCAAACAAAAATGGGGCCTCCCATTACAGGACCTCCATGTGTCCTGTGGCTCAGTATAGCACCAAGGAAGAGGTATAACCAGCTTCTGTGACCTCCATCCTATAAAGCCAGCATCAATCTGTGTGCATCTGCGCTTGATCATGGCACTCCGTAATTTGTTTCTCAGCTGAACAACGGTACATGGACCCCCCCCCGACTTCATCCCCACAACAGGATCCTGACGTGCTGGTGTCAACCTCGCATCAGGGATGGTCAGACATGGACAGGTTTAACGGAGCTAAATCTCTGCAGTATATAATGGAATCCGAACTAAGCAGATGAAATCTTAAGTGTCAGCTCGGGGGACTACTTCACACACGGTAGGGAAGCAAGGTCAATAAAACTAAAAGTGATTTATTTTAGGATGGGGCCACAATGTCTTTACCCAAAGAGTGGTAGGTGTCTGGAACAGGTTTCACAGGCAGGTGGTTGAGGCACATACTCAGAGCGGTTTTAGGAAATGACTGGATGAAATTTTAGATGCGTCGAATGACCTGCTGTCATTTACACCCTTTCTGTTATTCTTAGAAATGTGTGCAGAACCATCCTTGTAAAACCTGAATGGGTAAAACCAGTATGCCATTGGAAACACATTTGTTTTGCGTTTTTTTTAAGAAATTAAGGACGTGTGAAGAAAATTGGGCCTGTGTTTGCTTGTGCTGATCCTAATAGTTCTTCTTCTGCAAACAAAACCAACCAAGCTCAAAGTAAGAGTGTCTCAGGCTCCACGCAGCCTCACAAGATTGATTAGTTATCCCGTCAGGCTGTTTCTTGACGCATTCCAGTGAGTCAGCTTCCATAGCATAGCTTGGTAAGTTGTTCCACATACTCAGTATCTTTTCAATCCTAAATCAGCTTGTAAAGTGTGTGTCCTGTTTTCCACTTCAAGTATAAAGCAGCCACAATTTAAATGAGCTTTTCTGCGTTTTGAGCTCCAAAAGCCTCTCTGCTTTTTAGCACATCCACACGCACTGTGCGACACACAACTTTCAGTCTTGAATTTATTCTGGCTGCTCTTTTTTGACCGATTTCCAGGATAGCACAGCATAGTTTGCAATGTGCATGTTCCCCAGCCACCAGGCAACGGGTGTTAAAGCAACGCTGGCTTCAGGGATTTCAAGATTTCACCGTTTTCTTTTACAAAAAATAAATAAAACACAAAATCAGAGAAACACCCATCCAGACACCTTCTTTCTGAGAGGTTAGAAGGCTGTCCTCCAGCTAAACTAGTGCAGATCTGGTAACGCAAAACTGAGGAGGTGCGGGGAGGTGGTGTGGGGGAGGGGGTCGGGTGTCACTGGCTCGGGGCCTGGCCAGAGCGTCTTCAGAGTCTGCTCTGCGCCTCGCAGAATACAAGTGGGGGAGGTGGATTGGGCTGCAGCAATAACATAGAGCACTCAGATACGCCACACTTCACACAAAGGTGCTTCGTCACGCGTTACAACACGATGAACCACAGATTTTTTAGCCCACCTCGTGACATGTGCCATGCAGACGACCTCCAACAAGTATTTTCCCCTATTATACAATGCCAGCAGATGCAGACATCGTGTCATTCCCAGTACTGGCTCACAGCGAGCCTGACTGGCAAGTTGCTTCAAAGACACCCCTTCCTCCAAGACTGCGCACAGAGAAGGGGTAACGAAGGGTTAACGTGAGACTGCGTGCGAAGCCGCCACACGGGCCCCCTATTGTCCCATTCCATCCATCCCATTCCACTTGACTGGGCGGCCCCCTGGTCCCCGCTTTGTGGGCCTGCCGCCACTCATCGCCCCCCGACACCCCGTCATCTGTTCAGCCTCTCCGCACTCTCCCAGAGACATATGGACCCCCCACAACCCCTCGTCTGTCAGCCTGGACCCTGGAGGCTGTTGGATCTGAAGGCCGCGGGACCGGCCGGCTTCTGAGTTATTGTTAGGTTTGGCCCTGCTTTCAGTCTCTTCAGCTTTCGCAGGGGTAGAGAGGACATCTGCCGTTCTTCCCCAGCCCCCCGGGGGACCACACGCTAGCAGGGGCGGCGTGCCCCGCTCGGAGGGGACAGCCCCGTTTCCAGCCCCACCTTGGCGAAGGGCAGCGCTCTGCATCTGCAGCACAAGCCGCTGTTCCCAACTGCCGTCTTCTTCAACAGCGACAGCTGGGGCAGAGGGGGCCATCTTGGGAGTCCTAACTGGGGTTACCCACCTCGAACAACCCCCAGCCCCCTCACCTGGGACACAAATATCTCTGCACTCATTGGTGTTGTCCTTTCTACTTCAGGAAAACATGGGAAAAAAACGGCCTTTAGGTCTACCATTCCTAGGAAAGGCATGAAGAAAGAGGAGAGAGATTGCTAAGGAAAACAAAAAAGCTGCACAAGGGCGATGGAGGTCACAAACAATAGCAGGGAGGGAAGGAGGAAGAAAGCAAAGAATCGAACCCCAGACTGTACCTGCTGCATCTTCTCTAGGTCCAAGCTGGGCCTTCGCTGCTCCCCTCTGGAGCCGTGCCGGTGTCGTCTATACGGCGCTGGCTGGTCCAGATGAGCCAGGATGATGGGCCGGGCCTGACCCCGGACCAGGGGCTTGAGTCTGTGTGGCGGGGAGGCACTGAAGAGCACGGGGCTGGAGGAGGTGGCCAGGCAGGGGTCGCGCTCCGCCAGCTCGCAGAGATCCTTCACTTCCTCGTCGCTGGAGGAGGTGCTCGGCTCCCCGTACCACCCGGGCCCGCCAGCCTGCCGCAGGCTCCACTTCCTGCCCTCCCCGGGCGGCTGCAGGAAGTCCCGGCTGATGCGCTCCAGCTCCTCCTCCGAACTGTGGCGGTCCAGCCCGGGGTCCAGCAGCAGCCGCAGCCTGCGGAGCCGCGCCGGGGACAGCGCCTCCTGGTTGTGCTGCTGGCTTGTAGCTAGAGGGGTCAGCCCGCAATTCCTTCTCCTCTCTGCAGGGGTCACCAAAGAGAGGAGCTTTTAGTACGGAAGGCCACTCCCCAACCCACGACCCATGGGTAGCTTGTTCCATACCCCTAAAACTCTATGTGTAAAAGTGTGCTCCTTATTAGTGCTCAAGACCAGACACAGCCAATATATTCAGCCCTGTTCATCAAGAGAAGTAATAACAAGTGAGTACGTTCTGTAATAGAGTAGTAACAGCAATAACAAGTGATAACAAGCCCTTCCACCTGCCATGCAGACAGCTCCCTCTCACTTGCCTCTTTGTTTGCATTTCCCTTAGCTGCTGACTGTGAGCATTTTTAAGTAGCAGAGAAGGCAAGGAAAAGAAGAGACTGGTTGAGCTGAATGGAAAGCAATTAGTAAGGGTAAAGGTAACTAGTAAGGGTGTGATTAGCAGGTCTCAAACCTAGATGAATAGGGGATGTCTTCAATCGTATACTATTCTGAACACCATTCTCAAATTAATCTGAGCCCCAGTCTGCCGCTGAATGTTATTTACAACACACCTGAAGTGTAGGACCATACGTTACCTACAACGGCAAGAAAGCCAGTAGGGGACGCCTTTGTGAGGATTTCTTTTTATATTTCTTTGACATGCCGACAGTATCAGGCGTGAGAATTGCTACGCTCACCCCTGTCGATCTGCACGAGCTCCTGGTTCTCCCCCTCCGAGTCCTCGCTCTCCCCTCCCTCGTTGCTGCCATGGTAGGAGATCTGCAGGGAAACACAAACACTGGCTGAGCCTCCTCCCCTGCTCAGAGCAGTGCAATGAAGATCAAACGTGAGACGGGCTACCATATGAACATCGCCAGGACGTAAAGCCTGTCCTGCATGCTCTGGGGCTGCAGTATCACCCCGGCTCCTACCACTTTTTAAAACAGGCCGCTGGGAGCAGAAAATCAGCACATTTACAATTCAAAACAGCAATGAACACAAAAAGAAAACACTTGGCCTCCATTAGGTCACTACTCTGGCACCAAGCGGCTCAGGGTATCTGTTAACTCTCAAGTTAGCAGAAGGACAGTGGGCTTAAATGCGACTCCAGTCGAAAAAGAGAGAGAGAGAGCCCTGCTAATCATAGCGTTCCTGGTCCTGACTCAGAGGAAACGGAGAAACAAGAACCAGAAGGCACAGGTGGAAGTGCATTTTAAACCGAGAACAGGAGGTACTTCTTTACAAAATAGTCATGTTGTTGAAGCCAACATGCTGGTTTCTTTCAAGAAACCACTGGATCCTCCAGTCAGGACAGGAGACACTTCTCTGGACAAAGGGAGGTGGGAGCGTGGATCAAGCTGCCCAGCCATGTTGTTGAAGCCGATATCCTGGTTTATTTCTAGAAACAGCTGAATGAGATCCCCAAATCAATTAACTTCTAACTCATCAGGATCTGAGTCCTGCCTTAATGAGTCAAATGAGATGGCAGAATGATATGGCAAGGAGGGGAGCTTTCCTGGAAAGAGCTTCCAGCTGGTGAGATGACACACACAAAGAACCTTCAAGCCTTCGGCCTGGAAGCTTTTGTTTCCATAGTTACCATCATCCCCAAGCAGGTTGCGCACGAACAGAATACAAACCAAAGTCTTTGCTTCCGTCTTCTCACAAGACCTGGCCTCTCCACTCCAGGTACAGAGATTGACAGATCAAAACAGACTCGGCCTATTTTATGGACACACAAACTGCCCAGGAAGGCAAACATTTTGGATGCTGCTTTTTAAAGCTCCCTTAAAGACGGTACTTTGAGACAGCCAGCAAATCTGAAAAAAGAGATGAAACAGGTACGGAAAACATTTTTTTTAAACAACTTAAAGAAAAACTAGGTTAGAAATCCCAATGACATTACATATCCAGTTTGTGCCGATACTCTCCATCAACGCTGACAGGCGACAGTGCGAGGACTCACATGCCTGTAAACCCGTTCTGTACCCTAATAAACCTACCTAACCTTCAGTCGTAGCTCTGTGGCTTGAGCTTCATTTGAGCTTCACTTGACTACGGAAGCTGTTGCTTCAGAACAACCCAAGTTTTAGTCGATTGCTGTGATAACGTTAAGCGTGTGTACTGTAATCACCTCAGAAAAGCACAGCACAGGCCGCTTTCGGAGAACAGCAGCTCTGTAAACGTTACTCAGTGCAAACAGAAGGAAGTTGCCACAAGGTTATTTCTTAACAGAAGTGCAGATCGCAGGCTCTGCTGAGCCCGCAGAGCTGACACATGAAACCGTGGTTTCAGCCACACAAGCCACACTTCAAATTCTACGATCACTCCTGGAGTTAGGCGAGCTGACAGATGGTTTCAGCCCTCCTTATCGTGTTGATTCCTCACATCTCTGCAGCACTGAAAAAGAGACTTCATAAGGGCGCTGGCTTTTTTTTTGGAGCAAGAACGGCTGTGCCATTATTTTAGGTTTTTTTATCGCTATTGGACTAATACTCGACTTTTTCGTCATTTCAAATAAAGATGGCTACATTTTTCCACGTGTGGCAATGAGGAAATCTTGGAGCAAATGCCATGGCTGCTGTCTACAATATGTGAGCACGCAGAGAATCAGATGTGTCTCCAGCACATTCCGAAGAACTTATTCCACTATTGCCAATTATGAAAGAGGCAGGAAATGGCTGAGCAGAGCATGAAGAGAATTTACCAGAGGAAGTCTGAAACACCCTTACGGCTAGTTACTGTTTCAGCCTTGCCAGACAGCACAGCAAGGAGAGAGGTGACAGCGAGAGGGAACTGTGGAAAAAGCAGTACTGCAGGGAGGAGAGAAAATTCCCTCACATCTTCCTAGCCTGCATCACACATTCTGTGTACTCAGAAAGTGCTGATTATCCTACCAGTAAGTCTTTGGGCACTGCTACTGCTCACATTCCTCTGTGGCACTGTAGTCATCATGCCAGCTCCCTTCCTGGTCCCACTCGCCTATTCCTGACCCTTGACCTCTAACCCCTTCCCCCTTGTCATTAACACGGCCCCACACCACCTAGAATGGACAGCTTTGTAATGATAACCGCCCCCCACATTCTAACCCAAGTAGTTACATATAGAGCAGCAAGGAATAATACATACGTACACACGTAGATCGTCACAAATCACCCCCTTTGTTCCAAGTTTGGCATGTTGGAGTGAAAGCTCTGCAGCTGTTAGAAAAGAAGAAGACTTTTCTCCAGCACTATCAGAGAGAAAAACAGCTTATCGTCTACCATCAGGACACTGTATTTGGACTCAGTCCCTGTCCACTCTCTTTGAAACCAATATATTCTGCCCACTGTTTTTCTTCCCTAGATTAGGTGTTTACATTTTTGGTAAATAACCACATGCCTGTTCTCTGAGCCAAGCATTCTGAAGCAACACGGAGAGATGCCCCAGCTGAACCAGCAGTCATTGACCAGGCACCTCTGAGTCTGAACACAGCAGCCATTCAGTGCCAAGGCAGCCCGCTCAAGAGGGCTGAGGCACTAAACAAACTTAAGGAGTGCCAGGAAGTACCAGAGATTAATGAGTGGAATTTCAGTTCTACTACTGCCAGAATCCTCTCTGACAGGTATTAATGTTTATTTTCTAAGGCAGCTCCTAGTTTTGCTATAGAAAAATACATTGATCATTTTCTAACCCCTTTATCCAACATATCACAGGGCAGCAGCGCTAGAGCCAATCCCAGCAAGCAAGGGACACGAGTCAGGATACACCCTAGACAGGACACCACTCCATAACACGGCACACACTCACAGCTGGGCCAATTTTCCCCAAGCTCATTATCCTACCAGTAAGTCTTTGGACATCATCACAGCAAGAAATCAGGAATTCACCAGAAAGTCTCTCGACCCATGAGAACATACAAAATCGTCACAGGGACTCAGAATTGAAGCCAAGACGCCAGAGCTGCAGGGCAGCAATGCTAACCACCGCAGCACTGTGCCGCCCACAGAAAGGTACTGTAATTGGCAATAGGTTTTATTTAACATGTGCTTGATTTCCCAAACGCCTCGATTCTCATTCATTCAAAATAAGATGCTCTTGAGATATACACCGCCTGAAGCTAGCCTACACAAAGGCTAGCCGCTCACATGCAAGGGACTGGACTTCTAGACCTTAGGAGACTAATTCCACATCTTTTTTTTAAATACACTTTAATTTGGTTTCCATTTGTGAACTCTAGAGTGGCTTACTTGTAAAGCTCCACTCCATCTCTCATTTTCTATCTGCTCCTGTATCAGGGCATGCTTCTGTTCTGTTCACTGCTAAGTACCAGAACACACCCTGTTGTTTATATATCACAGCCAAAACACAATATCTTCAGAAGACGGGATGAGAAAACGCACATGAACCTGCTATAGCTGCTCCTGTCTACCCTCTCAACAGTGCATGGCAGAAATTGGTAGAATATACAGTGACTTCCAAAAGTATTTAGACCCCAACACTGTTGTCACAGATTGTTGCTTTAAAGCTTGCAGTCATGTCAATTTGTCATATAGTGCTCAACCTACTCCACACATTCAAAGCAAAAAAAGAATCGGAAAACATACAGTATGAAAGAAAAATGGAAAAGTTATGATTAGATACTCATTTCCAACCCTTTGCTGTAAAATCTCATTTAATATAGGTACACATAATTAACAAGACACACAATTAGTTGAGTAGCTTCTATCTGTGTGCAGTATTAACAGTTTTCATGACTTCAAAGTAAATACACCTGTGAAATACACTCTGCACAAAAAAAGGTAACATATCAGATAAGTGTATAAAATGGAGCCCCAGACACTGCCTGGATCAGCCTGTCTCTACACACTGAGCAGCAGGAGGAAACTGGTGAGGGACAACACTGTGAGGCCAACAGAGGCTTTGAAAGAGCTACAGAGTTCAGTGGCTGAGATGGGAGAAAATGTCCAGGAGTCAACAATATCCTGGACACTCCACAAAGGTGAATTGTATGGAACTGAAAAAAACCTCTCAAATCAACAAAGCACCAACATTATACTACAAACACGGTAAAAGATTTGGACGCAGATATGACAGAATTGGATCTTTTTGGTCTGAATGCAAAGTATGATACAAACACAAACACAACATAGTGCATCACTCATTCAACACTGTCATTCAACATCCCTCCTGTCAAGCATGGTGGTGGCAGCAGTCTGTTCTAGTCCTGACTCTCGTCAGCAGGGACTGGGAAGCTTGTCAAGACTGATGAGAACATACTGTAGGTGGACCAAAGTACTGGCAAATACTAGAGGAAAACCTGCTTCAGTCTATCAAACACATACAACTGGGATGCAAATTCACCTTGCAGCGGGATAAGGATTCAAACAACCAGGGCACAACTTCTGTACACTGGAGTGGTTTAAGAATTAAGAAAGTTAAAAGTCCTTGAGAGGCCCAGTCAAAGTCCTGACTTGTATCCTATTCCAAAGATTCCTATAGAATCTGTGGAAAGACTTAAAAAACACTGTTTATAAGCAATCCCCTTCAGTGTTTTTGAGCAAAGCTGGGAAGGTAGTAAATTGTACCGTGCTGGTGTGCAAAAGTGGTAGAGGTTTACCCCCCAAAAACTTGTGGCTATAGATGTTGACAAATGTGCTTCCACCAAACACAAACATTGAGTTCATTGAAGAGCTGAATACTTACGCAACATATTTCAGTTTTTCCCTGTAACTTTTAATGACATTTACTTTAACTTATCTTACCCTTGGAAGTCTTTAATTTGAATATTTGGGTTTAAAATAAAATATTAACGCTTAAAAATGCTTCATTTTGTAA